AGTGGAGAGAGTAGAAAGCATAAGCATAAACTAACCATTTATTTACAATTAGATTTTGGTTAACAGCTGAGGAGAAATCCAAAAAACTTATTTGAAAATTGGAATGAAAGACCGTTAAACACCCTAAAAGTAACACATTTGTTTTGTTGGGTAATTAAAGCCATGAAGAGAACAGATTAGTCATTTGCAATGTTTCAGAAGCAGATTTTAAAAAAACCAAAAAAAAAACCAAAAAACAATCTTGTTCTGCCCACTCACTGAAAAATGCTCAACAAACTTTACTCAGTCACACTGAGTGTCCAGAGGTTGTGGGTTGGATTTATGGAACCGATAAACATTGTGATAATTTACTGCGAATAACAACAGAAGCCCAAGTGGCTCACAAGCAAAACTTAATGCCACTCTTGTTCCCCACACTGCACTTCACCTCCTATTCCCTTGCTCAATTTCACTTCCCCCACCCAAATCAAACTCAGTCATTCATCAGAGCCCACTGGAGTGATAATAGAAGCAGTGGGAGGTGGAAAAAGAGGGAGATCGAGCATGGGAGGGCTTAGAGGAGAGACAGTGATGGAGGGAACAGAGGAGAGGGTGGAGAAACCTGTGCGATGGGACAGTGAAGATGAGTGGAGGGTGTTTGGAGGTGATTGTTACAGATAAAGAGATGTGAGTGGGGAGTGAGGATGATGAATGACTCTGGAGGGGAAAAAAGCAAGTCAGATTCATTCTTCACTCTCACTGAACATGTCCTTGAGCAAGGCATTTAACCCTCCTACTGTTCAGGCAGCAGTAGAATAAATACAGATTGTTATAAAAAAAAAGTGGTAACAGATGATTGAAAAAAAAAAAAAACCAGTTTAGGATTGGTGATGAACTGGGCGTTAAAGGTCTGTCCCATGTTGGATGTTAGTGAATCCTTGTAGCTGTATGTGTGTGGGACAGTCACAGATAGTGATGGATTGATTTAGAGTTAACACAAGAAAACACATGGCCCCAAACAAATGCACAGAAACACTAATGCTCTGGTTTTGTATACATTTTGCTCGTGTTCTAATCTGAGCCCACATGTATAGATAAATAAGCATTAATTAAAGCCCAGAAGTACTCATCTTCTAGAGGTGGGAATCACCATACAACTCACGATACGATATTATCACAATACTTAACGCACGATACGATATTATTGCAATTTTTAAAAATATTTTGCGATATTCAGATTCTGTACATAAAGGTAAACTTTATCAATATTCATTTTATCTAATATCAAAGTCTCACACTCAGTTTTTCTCTCATTTCAGTCAGTTTTATTGTTGACAAACTGAACGGTTTGTATTACAGTCTAGTCCAACTTAACTGAATGCAACCATCTGGTACAATTATAGCTATTCTGAACTAAGCAATTTATGAAAACTATGCAGCCCCTTCAGCAACTGAAGAATTTGACAGTAAATTAAAACAAAATATAATTTTACATTAAATAAAAAAGTTTTAAACTTAATTAAAATAAAACGTGTCTTAAATTAAAACAGGTAAACTGTCATGTTTATTGCTGCCCAAAAAAAAGTTAAACACATTTGGACAGTGAAGGAATGTCAGGATTCTTGCTCAGAAAAAGGATCAACAGGCTCTGAAGTCAGAGCATGTTCCATTCCACGAAAAATTGTTTGTAACAATTTCTGCTGTCCCTGTATCGATACATTATTAGCAAACAAAATATCACGATACTACATAGTATCGATTTTTTCCCCCACCCCTATCATCTTCCAAATCAGCGTTTACAGAGCTCACTGCCTCTATAATGGCTCTTTAACTATACAAAACTGAGCTATTTTCACTTTAAATAAAAACATTTTTTGTTTTAATTTCAACTTCCGTGAATACGCAAACATGGACACTAGTACCTCAGTTATTATTTTTCCCCTTTTTGATTATATTAAGAATTTTTTCACATACTGTATATTCCTGCACAGAATACAGCTTCACAACATATATATATTTACTGTTATAGAGAGTTAATTCTATTTTTTTTTTTATCTGTCTGTACACACTTTCATCTCGCTCTTTGCAAATTTCAGACTTTAATATTACCACAGCTTCAACACAGAATTTTAATACTCAAACTCTGTTTTCATATACGATACAATTCTTACTGGACGTTAAACAAGTGCTTGTTGTTCAGTTCCACATACTGTTTATAAATGATGGCTATAGCCACTGGGACATCATCTGGTTTGCGTCTTGTTTTTGAAGCTTTGAGCATCTGCTGTTGCCATCTTAGCTTTTTGGAAACCTTGGTTTGGGGTGGCAGTGAGGATTATTATCACTTTGGACACCAGTGGGGACTGTAATTTACCAAAAAAACCCATTGAGTATGGCTGTAATAGCGATTAGGATCATGAGCGCTTTGGCTTTTTTCAGGACATAGATCAGGGCATCTAAGGAGTCATTTTTTCCTGTTGACTTCTATACATTCAGACATTGTTTTGAAACCACAGCAGTCCCCCCGGCCATTAAAAAACAGATTTAAAGCATGCTCACTTTGGCTTTATTTTCAGACCAGTAAGTTATGAAGACTCGCAGCTTCAGGTTGAGTCCGCCATGCATCACAGAACAGCAAGACTGGGCCATACAGGAAATGAGAGGGTAATGATATTAGAAACGCATGCTGCTGCTTGGGACAGCTGGCAAGAATATAAGACATTGCTGAGCTGAATTTGGCTTTGTCGCGTTGCAGAAGCTTCCTGTCACGTTGAGAGCTTTGAAGTTTCCTCAGAAGCCACCATGCTTGCTCTTTTTTCTTTGGGTAACCTCCATGTGCAAATTTCTGATCTCTAAATTTCCAAGAAGCTCAAGTAGGGAAAGCCAAAACAATACAAGCAATTTACAAAACAAACCCACCGATGTAATATGTGTGGAAGAGGACCAAGGGCAGCCTCGTCAGATAAGGCTTCCTAGTTATTATTGGTTGTATTTGTCAGTCTCCAACAGTGCAGTCCCAAAAGATATAAACACAGACAAGGTAACGAGAAAGGCAAAACGAGAATCTGAGAAAACACTCAGGAAGATTGAATAAAGGACAGAAAGCAAAACCAAAGTGATAAAAGCCAGCCAGGGAGAAACAGATAAAGACAGAAATGAAGGTGCAGCAGACAAATGTAGAAGAACAAAGAGCAGGAGGGTTGGAGATCAACATTCAGAAGGTGTTTGCCTGAGAGAGTGGAAACAGTGCAGCAGTGATGGATTGTGTTTACTCCTCGTCTGTCCCCAGCTTTATTCTTTTAGACTCTCCTTTCTACTCCTTTTCTCTTATGTCCCCCAAACTTCTCCTCTCCTGTCTTTAGTCACTCTTTTTGTCCTATTCTACTCAACGCCTGTCTGCACTAGTCTCCACAATCTTTCGCTTCTCTCTTGTTTGTCTGTTCTTCTAAAGGAATTTGATATAAATTATATTTTGTGTACACTTTCATTAGAATTGGCTGCAATTAGAGCCATTTTCCATTAGTACCTGCTCAGGTTGGCTCGGTGCGGCCCGAGACTCATTTTAGAGTTTTCTACTAGGTCATAGTACCTGGCACAAGGTACTTTTTTTTTAGTGCCAGGTACTACAACAGGATTTCCAAGCAATCCAAATGTCCTCGAGTCTGACTAAAAGCCACAAACAGAGCAGCAGGTATAAAATGGCCTCAACTGCCACTGTAGCTGCCGTCATAGGCAACTCTCGCATTTAAGTTCATTTTATTAGATATGTAAGGTTGAAACAATTAGTAGTTGAAATATTAAGAAATAAATCAATAGTAATTCATGTTTTGTTCATTGGATTTATATGTTTAAATGTGTTATTTTTGCTAATTGTGCAATTAGATAGGAACCTTTTCTATAGTTCCGTCTGTTGTTGCTAAGAGGGCATTTTTTGGCTGGCACACTCGAGCCACGAGGTTTGCACGTCCACAGTAAGATAAATTAAAAAGTGCCTTTTTTGGACCTCCCTGCAATGTAAGGATTAAAGTTTTATTCCCTTGGAGTGAGGCCAATGAGGTAAATGTTTTCTTTTGTTTATTTTTGTTGTATGTAAATACGCTAGTGTTGCGTGATATTCTCGTGCAATTACCGCAGTGTGAGGTGTAATGTGTATTTTATTGATTGTTTTGTTGGAATGTTTTGCCATATATAATGCTTAAGGGCTTTATTAAGAATATTCATTTAAGTTTGTATTTCTTTTTAGTTCTGACGGCATTGTATCGGCTGTGGTTGGACATCATTACATGTTAAGGCATGTCGAAGAATCCTCCTGTCCGAAATAAATGTCAGTTAAAACATAAAGAACAAGTTGAGCTTTATTACGACTCGAGGGGAGTAACAGTCAGAACTCAGCCTGCTTCGTGCTGGAGGAGAGAGAAGGAGAAAGAGGTCTGCCGGAGCTGAGCCGAGCCGACAGCGCTCCGGGTCACGTGATTAAGCTCGCGTCTCTCTCAAGCATCAAAGACACTCAAACACACACACAGACATCTCATAAAGCAACCAGAGTCCAGTGGTGCAGCTTGGTTAAGCTACAAAGAAGTAACACGTTTATACAAGTTAAATGTGGAGAGTAGATTTCTTTAGCTCATCTTAAAGGGACTCTGTCAAGCAATGAAAGGGGAAGTGTGGTGGTTTGGAGTAAACGTTTAAGCTCATGTTATTGTTGTTTATACTAAGTAACTGTAATTAAGGTATGTTTAAGTTGATTATAAGGGTTTGCTTATTTTTAAGACTGCATTAGATATTTAAAATTCACATTATAGTATTTTGTTTGACATTGAAGGTTATTTTCTGTTTTACTACAAGTGAAGGGCAATTTACTATTTTGGTTTAAGAGTTTGTGACATATGTTTAAGTTGACTCTTTAAAGTAAAGCAATTTAAGTTCCTAGGTGCTTCATAAGGTGACTATTCACGTATTTAAGTTGACCTAGGTGACTTGAGTGTAGTAATACCTTTGTAATACCTTTGACTGTCTGTGACATGGAGCAAGAAGGCTGTGACACTGAAGCTGTGGAGCAGCAAGAAGCTTTTGAAGAGCAAGAAAGTTTGCCAGAACCATGCACAAGTAAAGCTACTAAAGAAGGAAGTTTGAGGAAAAGTCAAAGAGTTAAGAAGTTCACTGAAAGGGGCCAAGCACTACATGATGAAAAGGTGAACAAGCTTCAAGCTCGCTTTAAAGTCAGTTATGAAAGGTGGAAAGTTGTTGCAAAACAAGGCAAAAAGGCACTTGAAGAACCTGTTAGTGCAAAACTTAAAGAGCTTATCGACCGAGTTGAACATACCTCAGCAGAAGTGAAACAAGTTTATGATGAACTGCGCAATCATGAAACTCCTGATGCAGACACTCGCCGCAGAGTGGACACCTGTGATGCGGTTTCTCAAAAGATGATAAAGCTAGCTCAAAAAAAATTAGCAGCAGAAGAAGACGAAGAACTTTCTGAGAGAGTGGTTCACTGGAGTGATATAGGATCAGCATTCAATTCTGCAGCCTCTCAAAGATCCAAAGGTTCGAATAGCAGGCAATCAAGAAGCTCAAGTAAGTTGTCTGTAAAGAGGCAAGAAGCGGCTGCAGAGCTTGTGGCTACTGAAGCAACTCTGAAGATTATGGAGGAATTGGAAAGTGAAAGAAAGGCACTTGAAATCCTTGAAGCAGAGAATGCTGAGAAACAGAAGGCCTTAGAGAAAAAGCGAAGAGAGCTTGAAAGGCTAGAAACAGTAAAGAGAATGAATGCTGCTAAAGCACGTTTGAAAGTGTACAATGAAGAAGGAAACTCAGATGAAGAAATATCAGACCTAAATATTTCTTCATCAGACCTATCAGACCTAAATATCAGACCTATCAGAGCAAACGGAGAAATGTCACAGCTAAACCGATGAATCAGTTTGCACATTCGCAACTTAATGCAAATGCAGAGCCGTTTGATATGCCACAAGCCAACTTAAGGTCACAACCAAGAGAAAGCAAACAGGAAGATAGTATCACAACATTGGCCCAAGCTCTAGCTGAGTCCATTCACATAAGTCGCCTACCAGTACCAGAACCTACAGTCTTCAACGGAGATCCTCTCAAGTACAAGGATTGGAAAATGTCGTTTCAAATGCTGATAGACAGAAAGAACATCCCAGTGAATGAAAAGATTTACTATCTTCACAAGTATGTTGGAGGACCGGCGAGAAAGGCTGTTGAGAGTTATTTTCTGTTGGGAACAGAGCGTGCTTATTACTCAGCATGGAACATTTTGGAGGAAAGATATGGAAGTTCATTTGTAATCACCAAAGCTTTCAGAGATAAGTTGACATCATGGCCAAGGATTGGGAACAAGGATAGCGTTGAACTTCGAGAATTTTCAGATTTTCTCAGAGGATGTGAAGCGGCCATGCTTCAGGTTAAAGGTCTTGAAGTTTTGAATGACTGCAATGAGAATCAGAGAATGCTAAGCAAGCTACCTGATTGGTTGTCAGCAAGATGGAATCGAAAGGTCATTGAAATTGAAGAACAAGATGGTTCTTTTCCAACATTTAGCCACTTTGTTGACTTCATTGCGAGAGAAGCCAAGATTGCGTGCAATCCAGTAACATCGCTTCATGCACTCAAAGCAGGTGACTCAGAGAAAATGAAATCTTTCAAGACAAGAAGTGTTGGAGCAAAGGTGCTAGTGAGTGCTGCAGAAGAACGTCCAACACAAAAAAATGTGTGTTTTGTGAAAACTCAAATCATAGCATTCACACATGTAGGAAGTTTATGGACAAGGTCTTGAGTGAAAGAGTCAAGTTTGTGCAAACTAAGGGACTGTGCTTTGGATGTCTAGGCTTTGGACACCAATCAAAGAAATGTGAAAGGAGGAAAGATGTGTGACACATGTAAAGGGAAACACCCGACATGTTTGCATGAGGAACGAGACAAAACCTCAAAGAAAAGGAAAGAAAAGGAAAGTGACAAGGAACCACAAATGAAAGAGATGGAAGGCAATAAAGAGAGTAGAGAAACCAAACCCAAGGAAGCACCAAGTGAAGCAATATCAAACCGTGTGATTCAAAGTGACAGAAGTAATCTCACATCTACAATCATTCCAGTTTGGTTATCCACAACAAGCAATCCTGAACATTAGAGCAGGGCGATATGGCCAAAAATATTTATCACAATATATATTTGAAAATTTGCGATAACGATATAACTGACGATATAATTGATGCGAGACAAAATACAACTCCACAACATTACTAGCGCAAAAAGACAACCTTCCATTTATTTTCACTTAAACAAGAAGCTGGTTTTTATGTACATTAAAGCTTTATAAAAATGTAACAGTGCAAATGCAAATTCCTTGCTGAAAGTTTAACCAAAAGGCATTTCCAGTAGAAATGGGCTGACATATCCTGAGCATAACCATGTATAATATCCACTGAAGTTAAAAAGAGGTGCTTTGCAACATTAAACTGCAGTGTGCAGTACGTATTTTTCGGACCATAAGGTGCACGGGATTATAAGGCACATTAAGCGAAACAAAGCAGTCAGATAAATCAAACTTTATTCAACTCATTCTTCTTGCTTCCTCCACTTCTGTACCATTGATTCATTAATGCTGTATTCTATCACAGCTGCTCTATTCCCATGTTGTTGCAGTATATTAATGACTAACCTCGTATTGTGGATGGATTATCTCAGTTGTTCTCCTGACTGAAGTTTGGTCCGTTTACAGCATCCTGCCATGCGATTGCATTTGTCTCTAACCATGAGGAACCTTCACGTTAACTTTTTGAGTGGAAAAGTGTTAGTGTTCGTCCTCCAGCTTCAGCTGTTTATGAATCGTTCAATACTCGAGAATCACTTTACTGACTCATGAATCATGATTCACAAGCCCAACTTCAGTAACCCTACAAACGTCACTGCTGTTTAGTTTCCTGTCTTCATTTATGTTGGAAGTGATAGCAGAGCTGTACGTTTGAATTTTTCCAGAAATCTCTGTCAGAACATGCTATATCATGCTTAGGTAACTAGCGAAACTAGCGAGCTAACTTCCGCTAGCTTCCTGCTAACTTCTAACTCCGTTAAATGTAATAAATTTTGTTTTCATGGATGCCTGGAAGTTAAACTTCATAGTTACACCTGGTAAAGCAGCAATGCTGATCGTTTTATTAAAGATGAAAGAATTTAGACAGTTTTTAACTCTCAGTGATGCTGCAGTGTTCGTTTGACCTGAAGCATACGGAGTTTAGGACCCAGATTACTCCCAGATTTAAGAGCATCTTAGTCCGACAAATACGACAATAACGACGGCCGCTTGCATGTTCTGCAAAAAAATGTGCTTTGTCGTGTATCTGACGGACAAACACCAAACCAGTTCCACATCACTGAAGTTGCACCATTTTTACAAACCAATTCTGGTTCATCTGTTTCACTCAACAATCGGCCATGTGCGTATGAAAACAAAGGCACTGCGCATGCGCGTTTTACTCCCATTCTATCGCGATATTTCATTTTCCTATCGTTGCCTAACATTATACCGGTATTACCGTGAACGGTATAATATGGCCCAGCCCTACTGAACATGAGATTCTTCTCTATGCTCTTCTTGATAGCCAAAGTGACACGACATTCGTCTTGAAGGAAAAGGCAGATGCTCTGGATGCAGAGAAGGAATGTGTGCAGTTAAAGCTCTCGACAATGTCTTCTAAAGACACTTTAGTACCAAGTCAAAGGCTGTCTGGGTTACAGGTCAGAGGTTTCTCTTCTTCAAGGAGAATTCCTCTTCCTGTGACATACACAAGAGAGTTTATTCCTGCGAATTTGAGTCATATTCCCACACAAAGGACAGCAAGAGCGTGGCCACACTTAGAGCACCTGGCTGAAGAAATCGCTCCACTGATTGAATGTGACGTAGGCCTGCTCATTGGTTACAATTGTTCACAAGTGTTGGTACCCAGAGAAGTTGTGGCGGGAAAAGATAATGAACCTTTTGCCCAAAGAACAGACCTTGGCTGGACAATAGTTGGAGGAGCTAATCCATGTGTTGACTATGGGGATGCCATAGGATGTAGCCACAAGATCATTGTCAAGGAAGTGACACCCAATCTGTCAGCTGAGCAGTTGGTCAAAGAAGTGCAATACGTCTGTCGCACACAAGTCAAAGAGGTGGTCACATCTGCAGATGTAATTAAAG